TTTTTTGGTCTATTCTTCGAGATTGAGTATGTAGTACCATTTCTCTGGAAAGAAACTTGGAAGGGCAGCCAGTCAGTAACTTGGCTTTAAATTGTTTCTTAATGCTGTGGTAATGCTGTTTCTTCGTAGCTGAATGCGAACTCTAGGTTATCCATTTCTGATACACAGATAGGAATAAGAATAAACACTGGTTTATAGTGCGGAACTGGCAGAACATTAGGACTGACTGCAGGCTTGTTTTTTTCATACCTGATGTGAAGCTTCTTCTAGTTTTCAAGCTTTTACAGTGATATTAGGAGATCATGAGAAGCGTTCCAGAAAGAGTGCCATTATCGTGTTATTAACAGTGAAATTGTTCTAAATAGAGTGCCATCTGTTTAATCCAGACTGCCTCTGTCTGGTTTCAGCACTGAATGTTTTTCCCTGTGAGGCAGTCTGTGAGACCCTGTGTCAGGAAGGGAGAAGATGCATTAGTTTTTCAGTAAAGTAGGGAGGTGAAATTGGGGATGGGTTCTTTATTTGTTGAATACCAGGGATTTCAGTTTCTGTTTCATGCATAATTACGTTCTGTCTGAGATCTGTGAAATATTTTTTCTTTCTTAGTGAGGTGGAAGGTATATGTTCAGCATCAGTTTGCTGTAGAATGCTGATATTCCTCTCAGAATATTTTTTTCAGTGAGCTGTGAACATGTTAGATACCAGACAAGATGGTTTCCTTTTTTGAAGGAAAAAAAATAATCTCCTAGATTTGTGTTTTATTTTGTTTGCTTGGTTTTTTTTTTGCTTTTAATTTTTTTTTTTTTTTTAAATTTTCATGGCACTTTGCAGTATAGCCTGGTGATCTATCCATGAAGCCATACTGATATTACGAGTTTATCAACTTCAGTGTTCAGTGGTGATCACAGAAGATTGACTTTGTGGGACCCATTGTGGTCAAACAGAGTTATAACAGAAGAGTACACTGCAAGATTCACCTTCAAGCACTGCAAATGTCAGGATTGAACAAGAGTAGGGGGAAACAGCTGTTCTAAACTAAGTACATAAAACCTCTTAATAGGACAAACTTTTTGCACTTCATAGATTTGCTTTGCAATAAGGTTGCTTAACATCTTACTTTCTAAATTGTCTTGTATTTCAGCATGGACTTTTCTCTTTCCAAAATAGAAGATTGCAAACATGGGGGATGTGTTGTTCTAGTGATACAGGAAGCTTTTCTCAAGCTGTATTTTTACCAAATAAGTGAGTCTGGATAATTTTAAGGGGCCTTATGGTCTTGTTGTAGCCTGCTGTTTTTGAGAAGGAAACTTCACCTTGCTGAGTTACTCTTTTTTTTTTTCTTTTTTTTTTTTTTTTTTTTTTTTCTGGCCTGTAACAATAATATACACAAGGAGCTAAAATATGAGAAGTTTTCATCTTGTGTAGAACATACTGGATGTCCTTTGGGAAGAAAAGGTCATTGAGATTCTGTGTAAAAATAATCAGTGCTCTTTATGGTTTATTCAGTTGCTTTTTTTTTTTTTTTCCCTGTACTATTTGTGGTGGTGATAATTTCTGAAAATTAAGCATTCTGGGATATGGTTACATTAACATGTGCTTAGCCATGCTAGTTATGATTAGTTGGGATTCTTATGAATACCAGGTTAGAGGAAGGTGGCAGGGCTTTCCTGATAGCATTCAGAAACCTGTGTTTCCAGAAATTTTAGTCGGTGTGTATTCTAGCTTACCAGATGCATCTCTGTTACTGTTCTTCTGTATGCATACTAGTAGTTTCTGTGATCTGTGTTTAGTGGTATGCTCTTCATGATTATTTTCTGGCTTAAAGAGCTGCAAGACTGACAGTGACTTGAAGTACTCAGTTTTGAGGGTGCTTCTGTTTTTTCTTTGGCTTACTGTTTTAATACATATTTGAGCCACTTGAAGTGAGATGCTGCATGTTTTTCTCCTGAAATTGCATGTTACTTTCTCAGGCTTTGTGTCAGTAGTCAGTTATACTTCACTAGAAGCCTGTTGTCATTTGAATGAAATGGTCAATCCTGTTTTAATTGCAGTAATGATGAAAAGACCTTTCCTTAAACTGCTTAGGTTTCTTTGGATCTTTTTTTTTTTCTAAGAAATGCTATGGAAGGTGGGGGAGCAAGTTATCTTCTCAAGCTGTGCTTGAGCTAAATTTTCTATGGGTTGTATCACAGTCTCAAACCACTGTTTCACCTCTATTTAGGAGAAGTGGTGTGCTGGAGCAATACTTCCTTTCTGTTTTTTGGCAACCCAGAGATCGTTTTTCACAGGAAGATCTATACTGCTGGGCTAATCTGCCATCCTATCCTGAAGCCCAATAAAGCTCTTTGATCCTGGTATGTGACAGAACCATTGTTTCAATCCTGCTTGTGCTGCACAACTAAGCAGCAGATGCTCTATTCTTGTGCTCTTTTCTAGGCGGGCATATTGGGTTACTTCTTAGGTCAGCTCTCCCAGTCCCTCTGCAGGGATGATGTTTTGTATGGCTTTTTATTCCATGGATGTATGGAATTTTTAAAAACTCTTGAGTCCATGTATTGTTTTGGAATCTACCACCATTCTGACAGCAAGCACCACTAGACTTCTCATGTTGTGTGAATAAGTCATTCCTCTGTTCTGTTCTGAACTTGTTATCTGAGAACTTCATATGATACTCCCTGTTTTCTGCAGGAGAAGGAACGGAACTGTTTGGCTCTTTCCCAAGCAGACTGATATGAGTTCAGAATCAGGCTAATGTGTTCAGTCAAACACTGGTATGGGCTTGAAAGTAATTTTAGATTTTGTTCCTTTATATTAAGTTATGAACTAGTATCTGGCAATGAAGTTGAATGCTTCCCCAGCTGACTCCTAGTGAAGGCCATCTGCCATAGTAATTATCTTTTAGGTAGAAGTCTTGTGACTCTTGCAAAGAAAGTGATCTGAGCACGTGCAGTCATCAGTCATAGTTTGACTGCTGCTTTGGTCAGGTATTTTCATTTATGGATGGTACAGTTACAGGAAGTAATTCTTATTTAATGCTGTTTTTCACTGTGCTTCCTTTGCAATTGTTTCCTTATGGTAGATAAAATTTCATGCGGATTTGTGTTCAAGGAAGCATTCGCTTCTGAGTCGTGCAGGCTTGTTCAGACATTTCATATAGGGTGTAAAGGAAGGGTAAAATAGAGACAAATGACTTCAAGAAAGATTTTGAGCTGTCATGTATTATCTGAATAATCTGTTACCTTTTTCTGACCCTTTCTTCTGTCACCTTATTTGGCAGAAATGTAGATTCATAAATAAAGGAATCATTGGATGGTTATGGTTGGAAGGCTCCTCTTGAGATCATGTACATCAGCTCCTTTGTTCAATACAGGGTTAACTAGGACAGGTTCCTTAGATTTTTGAGTATCTCCGAAGGAAGAGGGTGCACAACCTCTTTGGGTGACATGTCCTAGAGTTTAAATGCTCCCACCCTGTAGGAGTTTTTTCTTGTGTTTCAATATATGTCCAGATAGATCCAGTTTCTTTGGACAGCAGGACAGTGTTTTGAGTTTGTGCTTGCATCATTAACTGGAAATTAACTATTGAAATAGTTGCATTTTTCTCCGTTCCTTTCCAAATAACAAGACAGGTGTGTTTTTTTAAATTATTATTATTATTATTATTATTTTTTTTTAAAAAGAAAAACAACAACTTTAATCAGAGGACATACTTTTGGGAGTGACTTCCCCTCTCCAATGGAATTCTGACCTTTTGTTTTTAAATTTGAAATCCAGAGAGGCAGAGGGGCACTCCTGATGAAATAAAATATTGTTATATAGTAAAACAGAAGTTTCTACTGGCAGCAGTATGACAGAGAAGAGAAGGTAGAAACCTGGATCA